GGGACTGCGACGTAGTGGCCTTGTACGTCCGTAGTCGATGAGTCAAATGAATTATTATAGAGATAATAATTCACTAAGCTAGAAGGAGTTCCAACAGGTTTGACTCACGACCAACTCGATATTGGGCCTAGAGGGTCACACACATATAGTAGGCGTTGCGATAAGTAGAGGGTCACACACATACCAGCCAGAGCCCCTATTTTATTGGATATCCAATAAACTCCTAAATTATTGGATCCCATGGACGAAATCCAATCAAAACCCATGAGAGATTATTGGATAGAGATTCACTAATCTAAGAGGCTTGGGTAGTTGGATGAAGATCCAATACCCAATATGGGAGGATCCATTAGGATTAAGATTAACAGGGGACTTCTATAAATAGGAGGGATTCAGTGGTTCATAGGCTAGAGCCTTTACTTGCCTCTCCTATTCTCCTCCCCCTCTCCACCTCAGAGTAGGCCTGAAGTTTTGAGGAGCGTCATCGCAGCCCTACTGTGTGGATCATCGCTAGAGAGAAGGGCGCTTGACCTCCTTCACCCTCTCCTAAAGATCTGCAAGGATTCAGGGATATATGATCTCTGAATCCTTGCATATCGTATATCAAATAAGCCCCTGAATTATTGGATCCCATGGATGAGATCCAATAAAAGCCCATGAGAGATTATTGGATAGAAATCCACTAATCTAAGAGACTTGGGTAGTTGAATGAAGATCCAATACCCAATATGGAAGAATCCATTAGGGTTAAGATTGACATGGGACCTCTATAAATAGGAGGGATTCAATGGTTCATAGGCTAAACCCTTTACTTGCCTCTCCAATTCTCCTCTCCACCTCAGAGCAGGCCTGAAATTTTGAAGAGCATCGTCGTAGCCCTGCTATGTGGATCACCGCTAGAGAGGAGGGCGCTTGACCTCCTTCACCCTTTCCTAGAGATCTGCAAGGATTCAGGGATATACGATCTCCCTAGGTAACACAATCTGTTCTATATGCAGTTTTAAGTTTCGCGGATTTTTGCGCACCAATCTTCGTACGACGATTAACATCACTTTGGAAATAGGGGATTTTGTTTTTTGTTCTTCTGTTGCGCATGTGATGTCGCCCCCAAAAGATTTCCCAACAGTGGTATCATCTATCACACGAACAACCTGGCCCTTACTGTCGTCGCAGATGGCAGCGCGACGTCGTGCAACAGTAGAGCCTATGGGCGCTGCGCCCGCGAGCATAACCGCCTGCGAGTGCTGCGTGGGTCAACGCCACCCGCAGGGGCGTCCGCAGGTGGGGGCGCCGCCCGTGAGCAAGGGCGACGCCCCGCGCCCCTTCGCCGCATAGGCTATCGTCGGCAGGGTGGCGGCAGCGACGGCAACAACAGGGGAAAGGGAAAAAGTGGGTTAGGGTTTTTGGGGAAAAAGACAATTTTGCCCCTATGAATTTGACAAATTTTATTTTTGTCCTTTTATCCAAATTATGAAAATACCCCTCAGAAGTCAAAAAAATTCTCTATATGTCCCTGAATTCAAAAAATATTAATTAATTAAAAGGTTTAATTGATTATTATTTTTTATTATTATGTCCTACATGATGATGATTTATACATGTGATGTATGATATGTGGACGAATGATCATGGACCGTGTGATGTGTGTACTTGTGATTATTATTATTGGAGACTGCAAGCCTCCGTTTTTTATTTCTCGGTTATTGTCGGGCCTGCGTGCCTATGATTAAGTTGTAATCACACGAGGAGGCTTAGCGGGAGCGTGAAAGCGATAGCGGGACCTATGAGACGAACGATTGCGATGCATGGAGATGCGTCGAGATGTCGACGGAACCGATGAGGGCGAGATGGACGATCATAAGGCATGGAGATGCACCACTACACACATAGATCTTGATGTGAGTGATTAGGCCCATTGGCTCGGGCCTAATCACATTAGGCTATGGTCCATGATCATCTGCTATGATTGCTTATACACCTACTAAATATGTATATATATATATATATATATATATATATATATATATATATATATATATATATATATATATATATATATA